TTAAATGGCTGTTCACTAGGACTCCAAGATCCCGCTCACAGTTACTACTATTGAGCAGGGTGGCACATATACTGTACCTGTGCATTTCGTTTTTCTTGCCTAAATGTAGAACCTTACTTTTTTCACCATTGAATTCCATAATAATCAGGGGAAACATCCAAGGAGGAATTAGGAGAAAACCTAAGATTTATTGGGGTGGGATAATTTCAGCAGAGACCTGGGAGAACTGAAACAATTTTGAAACAAGCTCCTTCTTCCCCAGTGTACCTTGGAGCAGCTGCTTCACGGTGTCTGTCTGGTGGGCAGGCTTCAAGAATGGCTATTTCACTGCCCCAAAGTCTCATGGCTTGTAAGGGCTCTTTGGCCGGATCTGGTACAGGCGTCAGTTAGCAGAGAATGGAGGCCTAAAGTACTTTACCGAGAGATCACACGAGACCAGCAATGCAAGATCTCAGGCTACTGATCTCGCAGGATCTTGCACTGCAGTATTTTAGGCCTGTGTTCTTTTTAAAAACTGAGGACTGCACGAGATCCAGGGCAAAGGTTTTTGAAAATAAAGAGGCCTTCCCTCTCTTTGCAAAGCATTTTGCCCTGGATCTCATGCAGGCCTTGGTTAGCAGAGAACAGAGGCCTAAATCACTGTTGCGCAAGATCACGTGAGATCAATAGTGCTAGATTTTCCACTACTGATCTCACGTATCTCTCATTACTTTAGACCTCTTTTTCTGTAAATGCAGCAAAGTAGAAGGAATCAACAGCTCATCACATTGTCGTAGGCTACCGTATTTTTCAAATCATAAGATGAACCTAGGTTTAGAGTAGGAAAACAAGAAAAAAAATAGTTTTTGGCCTCCGTATCAGAGGTGGGTTTCTCCCTATACAGTCCGATACAGCAGAAGAGGTAGAGAAAGTCCGGCGTACAGGATAGGATCAGTAGAAAGACAGAAAGAAAGAAGGGAGGGAGGGAGGAAAGAAAAACAGCACAGCGATTTAGGGCTAGAAGGCTACTCAGAGGTCATCTAGTCTAACCCCCTGCTGCAGCAGGAAATCTTACATTTTCTGGATTATTTTGGTGCCTCTAATGGAGAGGAAAATTGCCAGAAAGGCTGCCATGCAGAGGAAGGCAGAGACAGTCCTTGACTTATGACTACAATTGAGCCCAAAATTTTGGTTGCTAAGCAAGAGCATTGTTAATTGGCTTCACCAAATTTTATCCAATCCATGACATCTCCTGGTGAGTGACATCAAGTTGGCCAAGCCAACCCAGTCACATGACCGCTGAGCCACACCCACAAAATAGGTAGTAAAAAGTTTTGAAACCCACCCCTGCTATGCATGTCCCGTTTTTGTCATTCCCAGTGTCCAGAAGCACTCTGCATACCAAAAACAGGCCCGTTTTGGCCTCCCAAACCCTCTGCACATCCCATTTTCAGCCTCCCCGAGGCCGGGGAGGACAAAAACCCAATACACAGAGGCCTCCGGGGTGGGCCCATTTTTAACCTGCAGAGTTCTTCTGGACATCAGGGAGGCCAAAAATGGGATGCATGGAGGGTTTGGGAGGCCAAAACAGGCCTGTATTTGTTCTATAAGACACACAGACATTTCCACCCAGGGGTTTTTTTTTTTTTTTTTGGTATCTTATACTTTGAAAAATACAGTAAGTCCCGGCCGGATGGGGTGGGGGAAAAGGCAGGGCGAGTGTTGCAGGGCCTCTGCGGTCATTTGTAATTGTGAACGACAGCCACGGTGCTTCAACATTCACAATTTCGCGACTGAGTCTCAAGTACTTGGGAGAGGGCTAGACATAACTTGGAACGGTCGCTAAATGTACTGTCATAACTTGGCAATTACCTGTACTCTAGGATGCTCTGAGTCACACTGCATGAAGCCTGTTTAAAAAATTGGATTGGGAGAATGCTCTTCCATGGGCTGAATGTGAAAGTTCTGTTCTCACACAATTTTAGAGGTTTTAGAGGACAAATGACGACCTATTACTCTCCCGTGACCTCCAGAGGACATATAAAAGCACACCTTGTTCTTTTCAGCCTCCACAGATAGGTCCAAAGAGAAATGGAGAAATACAGATAAGAAATGGCAGAGAAAGCATCTAGTCAAAGACACATGGAGCATGAGGCCAGATCCTTTCCTTCTCCCTCCCAGGAGACAATATCTGATTAATGTTTTTTTTAATTATAAAACTATAATCTGTCTTCTTGAACTCTCTGATTGGGGACTAGAAAACTCTTACCCAGAGAGACCACGTTCCTATGGTTTTCAAGCATGACTTCCAAATGCAACGCTTTCTGGTCAGGATCCAGCTGAGACCATTCCTCCTCAGAGAAATACATAGCCACCTCCTCGAAGGACACCAGACTCTCCTGAACAAGGAAACAAGAAAGCAACAGGAGGATTCGCAAGATCTGTTCATCTTCATAATTTATTTAGACAAGAGGATAGAAGGGGAACTCATCAAATTTGCAGTCAAGACCAAATTGACAGGAACACCAACACTCCAGAAGATAAGCTCCAGATATAGAAGGATCGACAGATTGGGCTCCATCTAACGAAACGAAATCAACAGTGAGAAATGTAAGGCTCTACATTTAGGAAAGGAAAACCACATGCACAGGAATAGGTGAAACCTAAATCAACAATAGTAAGTGCAACAGAGATGTTGGGAGTCCTAGTGGACAATTTCTTAAACAGGAATCAGCAGTATGCTACTGAGAGATAGAATGACAATGACATGAAGTGTTAGTACCACTTTATAATGCCTTGTTAAGCCCACACTTGGAACATTATATCCAGTTTTGGTTGCCAGATATAAAAAAGTTATTCCGACTCTAGATAGAGTGCAGAGGAGAGCAACCAAAATTATTAGTGAACTAAATGCTAAAACATATAAAGAATGGTTGTGGGAATTGGGTATGTCTAGTGTTATGAAAAGAAGAGCTAGGGAGTGACATGATAGCATTGCTCCAAGAAGGAATGGATGGAAACTATTCAAGGAGAGAACCAACCTACAAATAAAGAGAAATTTCCTGACAGTGAGAACAATTAATCAGTAGAATGACTTGCCTACAGAAATTATGGGTGCTCCAACACTGGAGGTGTTTATGAAGATATTGGACAGCCATTTCTCTGGAATGTTATAGGGATTCCTATCTGAGCAGGGGGTTGGACTAGAAGACCTCCAAGATCCCTACCAACTCTGTTATTCTGTTCTATTCTTCTCTAAATTCCCAAAGCAAAGATATGCACAAATTTAAATGGCTGTGCATCACGTAAATCCTAATTTTAGGTGAGAAAAAGGGCAAATCTGAAAATTGCTTTCACTGAATAAATATTTGGGAAAGTTTTATCAAGTTAATTGATTCTAGAAAAACTTCAGTGCCTTTCAGTAACATAATCCTGGATCAACTGATCTCTCATGGCTGGTTACTAAC